GGGTGTTGGGGGGCTGTTTGGGGGAGTTGGGGGGTGTGGGGGGGTGTTTGGAGCGGAGCAGGTATGGGGATGTTGGTGGGATAATTGAGCGTTATAGACTCCCAAAAAAAGATATTTTTATTTTATTTTTTTATTTTTCTTTTGCGGGGTGCCGACGACCCCCGGTAGGTGCCGACCAGCCGACCGGTCGGCTGGTTGGCTGGTCGGCAGCCGACCAGTAAAGGGCGCCGACCGTCGGGGTATGCAACACTGGTAGTGAGGCAACAAGGCAGCCTCGGCAAGCACAACTTAATTAGCAGCAGGCGACCAAGCAGCAAGTCAACAAGGCAATAACGCAGCAAGGCAGCAAGGTGACAAGGCCATGAGCCAGCACAGCAGCCGAATGACAAGGCAAACACCAAAGCGACGTTATGAGCAGCAAGCAACCAGGCAGCAAGGCAGTGATGCGAGAAAGCAGCGAGGAAGCCAGGCAGCAACGCAGCAACACGCAGCAGAGCAGCCAGGCAGAAGGCAGAAATGGCAAGGCAAGCAGCAAGGCAGGACAATGAGCAGCAATGAAACAAAGGCGGCCACAAGACAAGGGCAGCACACTGAGCCAAACGACAGGGCAAGCAGCAAGGCGGCACAATGAACGGCAAGGCAATAAAGCAGCATAGGGTAGGGCCAAACGACAAGGCAATAAGGCAGCATAGGGTAGGGCCAAACGACAAGGCAAGCAGTAGGGTAGAGCACATTGAGCAGCGAGGCAATAATGCAAGCAGCAGGGCAGTACATTGAGCAGCAAGGCAAGCGGCAGGACAGCATGATAACATTGGTAAGAGAGGGAGGCAACAAGGCACTGAACAGCAAGCAGGTGGAAAGCCAAGGCATAGGGCGGAGGGAGGGGGGGAGGTGGGCGGGAAGCCAAGCGACAAGACACGCAGCGAGGCTGGAGGATGAACAATAAGGGTAACCAGCTCGCCAAACAGCAGGGCAGCATCAGCAAGACAGCACAGACAAGGCAGTCCGCTTATACCTGTTTGAATTAAAGCAGATCATCACCACCCCCCACCCCCCCCCACAAGTAGAACTTTAGAGATTGTGGGTTCACACCACCATCTGAGCCAGGTAGTCATTCTGACGAATGTCTGCCATCGCCCAGAAACCACACAGACAAACATCCCGAACGCAGGAGCCCTCGTAATACCGTTGAAGACAATCCATACAAACATGCGGTGACTATTTGACACTTCTCAAAGGTGCCTTAGGTACTTGGGAAAGTCTGGGAAAAAGGCCAGACCATGCGGCAAGTGGATGGACATCAACACGAAGGAAAGACTTGGAAGAAGAAGAAAGAAAGGAATTTGTTAGATTGTGTGTGTGGGCTCCGACTCTTCATCAACCACGAGGCTCAAGCTGTACATTGGCATGTGTGACGAAAGAGTCACGTTTGACGAAAAAGTCGGAAAAAACTCAGACACCCTCAAAGGGATGACTCTCGCAGCCCAGAGTCTACCCACCTGCTTTTCCAGTGTGGTCCTGCAAATACATCAAGGGCAAAACTATGTTGAAAATATTGTTGACAAAAAAAAAGGGCGACGAGTCGACGACCTCGAGATTTCATTATTAAATAATTAAAATTTATTAAAGGTAATTAAACTGACAGGCCCCATGTAATTCAGAAAAGATTCAAAAGAGTATTTTTGTGTTCATCTGACTGCATCTGGATTAGAACTCGCGGGTTTGTATTTCAACAGCTCATTGGTGTACCAACTGAGCTAGGCCCATTGGTACAACAGAACTATGGTGAAATACCAGTCGGTTTTCGATTCTCAGACTGCACGGAGATACAAAAAAGCCCAAGATGTTTAAAAAACAATGATCCAAGACAACGAAATGCAGCTGAGCAAAGCATGCCTCTATACCAAAGGACGACGTTACGAATACTATATTGGAAAAGTGACCAAAGTCCTCATGTGTGTGTATGTCTGAAAAGTGACAATTGACCAAAGTCCTCAGTCGTTCTCGGGAATATATAAAGCCCTCATGTGTGTGTATGTCTGAAAAAGTGACAAAAGTCTCAAATCAGTCGTACTCGGGAATATATAAAGCCCTCGTGTGTATAATACTGTGTATGTCTGAAAAGTGACAAAAGTCTCAAATCAGTCGTACTCGGGGATATATACAGCCGTCATGTGTGTGTATGTCTGAAAAGTGACAAAAGTCTCAAAATTTCTCAAACGAATCATCTAAATCAAGTACTACTTTGCGAAGGAAAGCACCTCTCTAAAACCCGCTTGTGTGTTTGTGTTTGTCTCTGTGTGTGTGTGTGTGTGTGTGTGTGTGTGTGTGAGTGTGTGTGTGTGTGTGTG